TATCTTTCTCTTGTCTAATAGCACTTGCCAGGACCCCCAATGTTATATTGAATAACAGCGGCAATAGCGGACAACCTTGCCTTGTTCCTAATCTTAGAGGGAAAGTTTTCAGTTTTTCACTATTAAGTATAATGTTGACTGAGGGCTTGTCATAGATGGCCTTTATTATGTTAAAGTACTTTCTTTCTATACTGATTTTGTTAAGTGTTTTGATCATAAATGGATGCTATATCTTGTCGAAGGTTTTTTCTGCATCTGTTGATATGATCATATGATTCTTATTTTTTAATTTGTTTATGTGGTATATCACATTAATTGATTTATGTATGTTGAACTATCCCTGTGCCCCTGGGATGAAACCCACTTGATCGTGGTGTATAATCTTTTTAATATGTTGCTGTATTCAGTTCGCTAGTATCTTATTTAGGATTTTTGCTTGAGAGTTCTCATGAGTGTTTATGAGAGATATTGGTCTGTAGTTTTTTTTTTTTCAACAATAATTCTTAAGTCTTGACTTGTTCCAGGCACTGCTTGAGGCACTAAGGATGTAACAGTGAAGACAAAGTTACCGCCCTCTGAGAGCTTAATGTAAACAGTAAAAATAGATATGTAATACAGTCAGACAAGTGCTTTAAAGAAAATGAGCAGGCCCGAGAGTGTTCTTTTTGACAGAATAATGTAGTACATCTTTATAAGGAGGTGACAAATACTTGAGGGAAGAGTGTCCTGGCAGAGGAAAAAAAAGTAAAATGATTGTGAGGTAAGCACAGAGAGACCCACATGACTGGAGAGCAGTGACAGCGGGACAGATGAAGTTGAGGAGGCAGGCAAGGGCAAGATCGTGTGGGGCCTTGGAGGCCTGCTAAATACTTTAGATTACAAACTACATGAGATGAGAACCCCCTATGGAGAGCTGAGAGCAGGAGAGCTGCACATACTTTATGTTCTAAAAAATCCCTGTGACTATATAAATGAGTAAGGGGTGGGGGACAAGACTGGAAGCTATTGCAAGTGGACCAAGCAAAAGATGATAGTGGCTTACAAAGATGAGGAAGTTTTAGAGGTTAAGAAATGTCCATCATCATAATATATTTCAAAATTAGGGTTTGCTAATGGTCCGGAGGCAGTGAAGAAAAACAAGCATCGAAAATGACTTCAAGGCTTTCGACCTGAACAGTTCGATGAATGAATGGTGGATGACATTTGCTGAAATGGGGAACATTGGTGGAAGAACAATTTTAGGTGCAGAAAAGAGTTCACCTATGGACACATTAAATTTTACATGTTTACTAGATATTTAAATAGGGATGTTAAATAGATGGTTGTAAAACTCTGGAGCTTAAGGGAGAAGTTGAAGCTACAGATAATTTGGGAAGTTATCAGTATAACATTAAAGCCATGGAATTGATGACATCACCCAAAGAACAAGGGAAGTTCTAAAGAATCTGAGAGAACTGAGCCATCACTCACTCACTTAGAGGCTGGGGAAAGAAGTGGGATCTAGAAAAGAAAACTGAGTAAGGAACAGTTGACGAGGTAAGATGACAATAAAGGCAGTGGTATCCCAAAAGTCAAGTAAAGAAAGACTTCTGAGAAAGGAGTGAGTCAAATGAGTAAAATGAGGATGAATTAACCACTGAATTTGGCAAGGCAGAGGTCATTGTGACCTCAACAAGAGCAACTTTAGCTAAGTGGAGGAGACGAAAGCTTCAGTGGGTTCTCAAGAGAATGGGAAGAAAGGATATGGAGATATTGTTTTATAGACAACTATTTTGAGGAATTTTTCTCTAAACAGGAACAGAGAAATAGGAGTGGTACCTGGAGAGGTCCATGGGGTTAAGAAAAAGTTTGTTTGTTTGTTTGTTTGTTTGTTTAAGATAAAAGTTATTGCTGCAATGCTCCAGAGTGGAATAAAATGATGCAGGAGAGAGAGGGCTAATTTTAAGAGCAAAGAGCTTAAAGTTAGATAGGGTGAGATCTAATATACAGATTGAAAGAACAGCCTTTAATAGGAACAAGGACAGTTTGTCCATTATTAACAGGAGAAAAGGTTAAGTATATAAGAACAGATGCTGGAGTTTGGTAGCTTCCATGTTGGAAAACAAGTTGATTAAGGAAATGCAGTATGATTGCCAAGCAGCTCTGAGAGTCCACTTGAAGTTCAAGGTCATGAATTTAAAGCTCAGCATAGTTGTCTTTTTCTTGTCATCATCTGTTTCTCAAGCGCAGATAAGAATTGGATTTAACTAGGGAAGAATGATGGAGTCAAGGGAGTTGAGGATATTTGCGAGGGAGTGATCCCATTGGTGGACCATGGACTATAGAGAGTGAAAAGAGACAGAAGGACAGAAGGTAGCGATACATAGTGAATGGGTTGGAGGTCTCGTTGAAGCTGAAGAATTGATGGCATACAAGGAGGAGTGAGTGAGCTGGAAAGACAGGTCATGGTTAGAGATTAGAGTGCTTGAAATCAAGATTTTAGAAATGTTACAGCAATAGACATTATCAAACGCTAGGGTAGTGGGTGCCTAAAGTGGGGTGAAGGACAAGATCATTCAAAGTGAGGAGGTCGAGAAGTCAAGTGGATCACTCATATGGATAGTGAAATCTGCATGCATGACAATAGGGTTGGTAATGAAAAAGCAGTAAACTGGAGCAATTTCAGTGGTGTGGAGGGGGAAAAAAGCCTAACTAGGCGGGTTGAGAAGGGAATGATAGATGAGAAATTGGAATTATTGTTTATAGACAATCTTTTGACAAGTTCTGCAGTGAAAGAGAACATAAAAATAGTGGTGATGGTGGGAGGAGGGTTCTGAAGAAGCCATAGTGTAAAGGGTTATTTCAAGATGGAAGATTCGATAGTATATGTGTATCCTCATGGAACTAATTTATTAGAAAGAGAGAAATTGATGCTATAGAAGAGAGAAGGGATAACTGCAGGAACAAAGCTCTTCAGGAGATGAGTGGAATCCAAAGCACAAGAGGAGAACTTTGCTTTTCATAGAAAGAGACACCACTTTTCCCTAAAATATGAGAAAAGACAGAATCCGTGGATGCAGATAAGGCAATAGATTAGTTGTAAGAAAATAAGGGAGTTCATAACTGAATGCTTCTATTTTCTCAATAGTGTGAGGCAAAATCTTCAACTGTTTGGAGATCAAAGGTATGAAAATTGAAGAAGGTAAAGAAGGCATTTAGTTATGTTTTCAGAGACTGGGAACTAACTAGGTGAATAAAGTGGGCTTGCCAAGCAGCACCAAGTGACCAATTGAGATTTGTGGTCATAAATCGGAAATAAAAGCAGTCAGTATGACTGTGTGATTTTGCACAGCAGGAGTCAGCTGCTCAGGTGTAGGCAGAAGGTGGGTGGTTGGGTTTAAACAGGGTTAAGCTTTTACCAGGAGAAGTATGGTGGTTAGTCAAAGAGTCACTGGAATGATAGAAGATGTGTGTGAGGAAACTGAAATGATAGACCATAGAATCTAGGCTGTTAAAGAGGAGTTCAGGAGAACATGAGATAAAAAATGGTCAGCCAAGGGATTGGAAGCCCAATGTGGACAAAAACTGTTTGGGGTGGGTCATCAGTGAGAGGTCAGAGATGAGCTGGTGGGGTCAGAGCAAAAGATATTCATATCTAAGTCCCATCAGCCCTGTTACCCTGTAAACTTGGTGAGGACTGAGCATATAGTAAGCACTTAGTAAATGTACTCTTCAAATGCTTGCTCAATTAATATGTTGTTACTACAACTTTAACAATAGAATAGCATTTCTCGAGTGCCACTCTGCGCCAAATACCGACAAAAAAATTTTCAAGGATTCCTCCCTTTAGTTGTGGAGACAGATAATAATGAAATACAAAATTTTAAGCACTATAATAGAAGTAATGTTTAAAGTGGCAACGCAGAGGAATGCAAGGACTAACTGTAGAGAAGAATTAAGAAGGGCTTCAGAAAGAAATGACAATGGATAATCAAGTTCAGCTAGGAGATCGTCGGTGAAAAGAGGAGAGTGAAGAGATTAAGTTTCTCTCATTGCTAGTCTCAATTTCCTATCAGATTCCCTTGAGGTCCAAAGATAGGTGACTGCAAGGCAGCAATTGAATCACACAAGAGTTCTCTTCTTTTAAAACAAAGTGGGCTCTTGCATGCAAACCTTCACATTAAGACCCCCAGTTTTAGGTAGGGCGTGGTTGCTCAGTGCCTCAGAGGGTCCCCATCACCTACCGTTCAGGGTAGACAATGGAATCCGAGGCGGGATTCTGGTCACCAGAGATGGGGAGGTCATCACCTTAGCGCTGGGAAACAGCTCGGCTTCGTGGGGCTTGTGGGGCTTACGGGGAGCATGGTACCCATGGTGCTCACAGGGAGCGAGGAACTTGCGGGCTGCGTGGGAAGCGTGGAGCTCAGTGATTTCGTAGGACTGATAGGGTTCGTAGAGCACATAAGGCGTGTGGGGTTCAGAGGGTCTGCAAGGCTCATAGTGGTCGTAGGGCTCGGGGATCTTTCGCTGGCCTTGGTCGTCTACTTCCTCGGGCTTCTTGGGCTCCAACGGTTTGTCGCGCACGTTGAAGATCCTGGTTACTAAGGGAGTCAGGAGGGCTTCAGAGCGAGCGGATGTTTCTGTCGTATCATGCCCATCCGACAGCTCGGATGAACCTGAAAACTCTTGGTTCTCCATGAATGCCCAGGAAACTCCAGCTTCGCGGGGCGCCCACCCTGGCTGCCCACCGCCGGGGCGCTGTTGGCCTTCTGCGCGATGGGAGGGGGATGGGGAGCACAACCTTTACCTGCCCCAGACGGCCCTCCCACCCCCACGCGACGGAGCCCCAGCGGGATAAGCCCCGCCCCGGCCCCCCTCTCTTCACAGTCTCCGGTTGCCAAGGCGACGCGATGCGCACCAGGGGCCCACAAGCGCGCCCAGCCCTCAAAGAGGGAAGAGCCAGAGAAGCGTGTCCGCAAAGACACGGGGCGCGCTACTGACCAGTGCCAAGGGCTAGTAGTGTCACGCGTTCTCCGTTGCCGAGGCCCTGGGGTAGAACGTACTAGCTTCCAGTCTAGTTACAGCACCATTCAGACAGCAGAGCCAGGTCTGTTAGGTTCCCTGGCACAGGCTCTCCATAGACTATGGTAGCCTAATCATGCTCGAAGCGGATACTGAGATGGACAATATTCTAAGGCCCTCCATCACTGAGACAGCAATAGGAATGAGGGTAGTGGGAGTAGGGCGACGCTTAACATTCGGTCCAAGCTTAACATTCAGAAAAAGTCTCAGTTTTAGATTTTTTTTTACTTTATCTCCACATGAAGTTCTACACAGTCACAAAGAAACGCGGAAAGGACTAAAAAATATATAGTCGTCTACAACTTGTGTCTCATTACAGGGCATAATGTCTACTGAAGTGAATTATAAATCATTATTTTTATAAACCCTGTAATTGTGAACAGCACAACTTTTAGTATGATATATTTGTTGTGTGAATGTATTGATAACATTAATTTGTTATATGTGATATCTTTTAAATACAATATATCAGAATTTTTATAATCCTGTTTTTGGCACCCCCCCTCCCTTTAAAAAAATCATTATTATACCAAGAGATCTTTAACAATAAAAAAGTGAGTGGTCTGAACCTCTCTCAGTCTCTGAGGAATGCTTTCAGCTAATTTCGTGGCCATGACGACATGGTAGAGGACAACAGAAGTGGTGGAGTTTCAGTGATGTGTTTATTTTTGAAAGAAGGGACTAGAGATATTGGAATAAGTCATCTATCCAAGTGTATGTAAACCCAAGAACACCTTTGGCATGTTACTGGGTACTCCTTTGATATACTATGTCTCATAGGTGCAAAAAGTTAAAAGAGACACATTTTGGATTGTGAATTTTTCCTGGAATGAAACCAGGAGAAAGTGACATATATATGAATCAGAAATCTGCTCCCTCAGACACACTTTGAAATAAACATGTGCAGCACTGTATCAAAAATTCAAGAAGTACTCAAAAAAGTTGGGAAAAGGAGAAATAAAGCTATCCTCAGAGAGTTTTAGCTCAACATGTAAACAATTGTGGAAGAGTTATATAAATTCTCCTTTGAGAGGCAGGATGGCCCCTAAATCAGTAAATGAAATGCCTTCAAATATCTAAAGAACATGTCATTCAGAAGAGGAGCTTCAATCCACAATGGATATACAGAAGGATATCCCTTCTGTATACATATCTTTATATCCTAGTGACTGTGCCTGTTCAAAACTACAGAGGGGAGAGGAACCGAAGCCAACAGACTGCAAATGTTACAGCTGGTTCCCCAGGCCCTCTTGAGACAGATGTGTGGCCCAATTCCAGTATACATCAATAGATCCATGTTCACTAGGCAACTCTCTGACATGACCCAGCTTCTTAGGGAGTCTGCTTACTGGGAGAGATTAAGATCACAGAATGAATTCTGGTCCACATCATTCTGATTTTATACACTGACTTTAAGAATCTGACTTACGTCTTCCTTAGGAGAAATTTAGGAATTTAGAAATTTAGGAATCAATCTTGATTCTTTCTTTCCCTTACTCCAACTCCCTGCCTCCAATGCATCAGCAACTCAAGTTCATTCTTCAAATATGTCTTTAATCCATCCGTTTCTTTTCATCTCCCATCACCATGCCAGTCCATGTCACCATTATCTCTCTGGACTCTGCTGTGCTTTCCCAACTGGTGTTCTGACTTGGCCGACCTCCAATCATGACACTCCAAACTGTTTAGAATAAATCCCAGGCTTTGCACCATAAGGTGCCTGGTACATGACCTAGTCCTTGCCCCTTTCTCCAATCTACTGTGGGCTGCGATGTCCTAGCTGTCTACATTCCAGTCTCTCTCTCCAACATGTCAAGCAAATTCCCATTTCAGCTTCTTCCTATACCCAGAGTTCACTTCTCCCCCATTTCACATACTTGCTCTTTTCTTTCAGCTTAAACATCACCCACTCAGAGGTCTTACCATCCCACAGTAATTTTTTTTTAATGTTCCTGCCATTATTTTCTGTCTCAGATCCTTGCTTCCACACTGTTTATAATTATTTCATCTGCTTTTTTATTTTTGTGTGTGCCTTCCCAGCTATAATAAAAGTACCTTAACAACATTCTCTCTCCTGGTGGCTGGTGTATGCCCAGTGCCAAGCACAGCGAATGACTCTGGATAGCTGTCATTATTTCTGTTGTTTTCCTGCCTAGCATCCTTTTCCTCCTCTTCGAAAAGTTGAACTTCTCCTTTCTGTGGGGAACTCTTTCCATATGGCTTGAGGGGGCTAATCCTGTCCCCTCCCTGGCCTGGGCAAAATGGCCACAGGGATTGGTTCAAGAATGAATATGTGACCCTGGCAGAACCAATCAATACCCCTCCATGAGATTTACTGGATGGTTGCTTTAAATAGAGAGGGTCCATCTTATTCTCGAATGAGCTATATATGAATGTTGTATGCTTAGTGCTGACAGCAATTCCTTGCAAAGGGAATCTGAGGATGAAGCCAAGTAGAGGTTAGCAGGGCCAAGAGGTATAGAGAAAGCTTTATTATCTTTGAACCCATGAATTCACCATATCCAGATTCCCCAGTGTGATGAGCACCACTCCCTCCAAATCCCCATTTTTTGGCACACACAAACCTAACTTGAACTGTCACCATTTTTAACTGTCACCATTTTTAACTGACACATTTTCTGGTACACAGTTGGTGCTCAATAAATGTTGACTAAATGAGTAAATGAAAAGACAGATCTACTCTTAATTCCTGAGCCTGGAAGGCTGGCAACAAATGCTAGATTTTGGCAAGTTCTTCAAGGTAATCAATGTCATCCCCTGAGGTCTGTTGAGAAGACCGCCAGCCAGACAGCCTATTTGACAACACTCCAACCTGTCTTGGCTGAGTGCCATTTCCACCAGAAACTCCTGGGACATGTACTTCCCATGACACCCTGAGAGCATCTCAAGTCTACTTTAATCATCCCCAGCATCAAGCAGTGACCACTACATAGACAATAGCTGTTCACTGAAGGAAAAATACCAGCCACACATTTTTTGCCAAAACGCAGAATCTAAAATCAAAATGTGAGAAAAACAAGGCTAAACGGGGAAGAACAGAGATATCACTCTCTATTTGAAAGCTTTTGGCATCATCTTTGAAATAGGCATCCAGGAACTTATGTACTCCCCCACCACCTCAGAAAACTTAATAAAAATATACCTCATAGAATCAGAGTTCAGGGCCGAAAGCTGTCTGTATGTGATTTAGTCCTTTTTCAAAGTGAAGCCCGAGTAAGACATGAGATGCTTAAGGGATTTGTCCAGGGGTCAGTTAGTGGCAATCCTAGGGTTTCTGACAATCCTGGATTATTGTGTGATCCAGCCTCCATAGACCAGACAAAAGAAGGCCTGTTATTAGACACTCGAGTGTCTGTTGTGATATACTATTAAAAATTATCCTGCAGCTCTGACTGTGAGAAAGCAAGTGACTTTAAAGGCATACACTCTAACATCTCATCTCTCCAAGAGCAATTATTATTTTGTAGATACACACCTAATTTCAATTATGTTCTATTTCAGCCCAAAGTTTGATAGAGAAGGCTATGTGCTAACATTAGGTAGAGGCTGTCCTCACCAAATTTGGCTTTTTATTTTTCCAGAGATTCTAAATTTTATTTTATTTTTTATTTTTTTAAAGGTTAAAACCATTTATTGTTAAAAATTCAAACAATACCAAAGATGATACAATGATAAGTAAAAGCTGCCTGGCCCCCACACCATTCCCTCAAGCCATATGCCAATGCCATTGTTTCAGAAATTGTCACCATTAAAACTAGTGTACTTGCAGATCATATACATATACAATTAATATATGTACATATATATATGCACACACGTATGTCATTTTAAATGAAAGAGACTATTATGTACTTTGCAGAGGTGCTGTGGTAAAAGGGAGCATGAGATGTGTTAGTTACTTTTAAACTTAACAGCATATTTTCAGGTCAACATATATCTTTCTCATTTTTTAATTAGCCCCATGCCATTATATTTAATGGAGTTACTCTAACAATTTATAAAATTATTTCTCTACCGATAAAAATTTATTTTACATTATTACATTATATTACTACATTTATTTTAAATTTATTACATTATTTCCAAGAATATCTTTTTATATGTGTCTTTCCATGTTTGTGTAAACATTTTTGTGCAATAGAATCTTAGAAATTGGCTTGCGGGATCATAGTAAATGTTTTAAATTTGTTTAAAAAATTATTTGTAAGTAAAGTTTAAAATAGATTAAAATTGTTTTTTCATAGACTTTGCCAAATTGTCCTCCAAAGATGTGTCATATTACTCAACAAAGGGTTTGAGAATGAATGTTTTTCACATCCTCATTAGCTGTATCTTTAGAGTTAAAAACTGCAGTATCACTGGTGAATTTGCATCAGAATCTTCTAATTCTTCAGTTTTGTTTTGTTTTTAATTATAGGCATAATAGTCTTGCAAAGCCAGATTCATCGCTTTGTGGGAGAGCAACACTTATTTGTTTGTTTGTTTGTTTTTATTATGGTGACATTGGTTAACAAAATCAAGTAAATTTCAAGTATACAATTCAACAGTAAGACGTATATATATTGCATTGTGTGCTCACTGCCTATAGTTCGATT